CACGGGATGTTTTCGATATTTCTGGTATTTTCTGGTAGCGTATAGACAAATAAAGGAGCACAACAGTTAAACAATGAACAATAATATATGTGATGCAGATGGTTTGTAAACTATTTCATGCGATCTGAAAATATTGGTAAAAAATGACTACAAAGTACCGGTACAAAATCGAAGAAGCGATAGCCATTAAAGTATGACGTATACGATGATGAAACGGATGTTACTGGCATATGTAGATGAGACTGGGATAAAATTATAACGGTCATATGTCTAAATGTAGTCATTACGATGTTATTGACTTAAATGTTTTTTCGTCCGTGTACGGCGAATAGTTGTTGATACATTTTCAAGAGTATGGCGATTAGCATGTTAACAGTACGGCGAATAGCTTTACTAACATAACCATGTTTAGAGCGAGCATTTGTACTAGCTACATTTTTATGTTGTAATACCATTAGAGTAACATACCAATGATGTTGCTTTGTAACACTTTTGAATAATATCGTAAAAGGAAGAGGTTAAGAATGTCGAAAGTCTAATGAATGTCAAGTTAAATAATGATAAGGAGTACCCATTTCTCACATGTTATAACACAACCTAAGCTGTGACCATGACAATAGTGGTGGGGTTTGAAACTGAAGCTGTGACCATGACAATAGTGGTGGAGAGTTGAAACTTAAGCTGTGACCTTGACAATAGCGGTGGAGAGTTAGAACTTTAGCTGTGACCTTGGCAATAGCAATGGAGAGTTGGAACTTTAGCTGTGACCTTGGCAATAGTGGTGGAGAGTTAGAACTTTAGCTGTGACCTTGGCAATAGCGGTGGAGAGTTAGAACATTAGCTGTGACCTTGGCAATAGCAATGGAGTGTTGGAACTTTAGCTGTGACCTTGATAATAGCGGTGGAGAGTTGGAACTTAGGCAGAAGGTGACATACTCTTTCCCTGTCACAACGTTAATATACAAGGGGGAGGGGTTACACAAGAAATGTTAAGGATGATGTAGAGAAAATCTGCACTAATATATAGATTTGCAAAGAAAGACACGATAGTTAAGTTGATATACGGTAAACCTCCGGTCAGTTCGAATAGGCGGATAGTTCGAACATACCTTTTAAACAATAAAAACAATAATTGTTTGTCTAGTTATAGTTCGAACCCGCTTTATCAACATTTCAGATAGTTCAAACACATCGTACGAAGTTTGGGTAACGGTGAATTTAATTATGTTCGAACTGACCGGAGGTTTACCGTATCCTCAATTTATTCGCAGTTATCTGTAAACAGCAAGTGGTAGAGGCAATACAGACGTCTGAAAGTTTTAAATATGTATATCTTTAACAGGCAATGGGAAAAGTCTGTTTCATTTCTACTCAAGATTTCAAAGTCTATTCTAACTTTATTTTCATCAACTTGTAATAGGCACTTTTAAATTATGGTCTGAAACTTTGTTTTAAATTGGTACTTAAAAAAATATTTTGCAACCCCAATATTTTGAGGGCTGAAAAACAGACACACATCTATCATTTTGGCCTATCCTTTTAATCTCTGACCTACCTGTACAACTGTAATAAGTGCATTGTTGTTTCTTGTAATCTTTGCTGATCTACAATTTACGTACGATAAGGTGCATGCATTTTACACTGTAGGAGATTTACGGTAATCGAGGAACGTTAGTTTAAGTTTAGCTTTAACAAAATATAGTACATTTAGGCGACGTGTTCACTTAAATACTGTTTACTTTATGAACTATTCGCCGTACACCAGTTATTTTAAACATTCCTATTCGCTGTAATCTGTAATGCTATTCGCCGTACACTTTACCAAAATTAGGTTTACCAATATCCAAAGAAAGAAGCATAATATAAAGTGACTTTGTGTATTATCATGACTATATAACTATAAAAAATAATCTTAGCATATAAATGTATATAATCTACTGGCAAATGTCAAGTCAAGACAATATTTGCTGTTGCGAATGAAGATTTAGGGGAACTAGGCAGACTGTTTTTGTAAATAATTTGCAACTACACCAAAACAATTACATGCCTCCTGTTTCAATTATGAATTACGTCTATGCTTGACTGTCGTGCTTCTTTATTTGTCTCTACACTACCAGAAAATACAAGAAGTATCGGAAAAATTAACGTGATTTGACTACGCCCAGCTTCCATGCCCGCTTCGGTACTAGCTATACCCGGTGTCAGTCCTACACAGTGAATACATGATTAGTTACATTCTGTGCATACACCTACAGTACATCTATATTTTGTGTAACTAATGTCAGACAATGTCTAATTCTATCTCTATGTCCTACGCAGGGAAAAGTGTCGCAGTAGCTCTGTCATAACTCGGTCAGGACAACGGGTAATTACATAAACAGCACTAGACACTCACTACTAGACTAGACACATACGTCAACGCTCCAAATACGGATAACAATTCATGATCAGTATCACGGAGTTTAGGTCCAGGTGGACAGCTTGGCATTTACATGTCTAGGCAGGTAGATTGGCATACAGATTGGTTAAACTGTATTGCTGTAAGTGTCTATACATAGACCAGTAGTAAAACTAACTTACAACCGTGATCTGGTGCCAGTTATGGAATACAAAGTTGTAGATCAAGTAGGTTGAATCTGTCCTCACATCTATGCATAAACATTTTAGACTAAATTACCCAGCTATGACCTGACTAACTCTTTTAGGACAGAGTATCCAGGGACCTTTTAACCTTTTGGAGGTACACAAATTAGATTGTCAGTACCAGAAAAAAAAGGCTATGGTGTATGTTGACAAAAGATCTAGCGCTGGACGTAGTATGCATGTTATATATAATTTATACTGACAATAAAGCTAGCTGTGTGTTTTCCCAACCTCTAAACCAACAACCAGCCTGTTGACATTTATATCAAGGTCTAATTTATGATGTACACAAGTTATTGCTACATATCAAGTCCCAAAAGTGGTTTCCAATATACATGTGTACATTGTACATGGTATAGCCAATACAGGATGTTTCTCATGATCAACTGTGTTTCTAGATTAAAACTAAATTAATGTTACAACTTACAGCATCCTCAACACATGTCCTCACGTTATCACAAGAAGTCCACATCACTCATTAAGTTTGTTATGCTTATCGTCCCAATCTGTTCATATTGATTTTGATTAAATACAAAGATGTGGCCAGTATCTGTATAATAGTTAAATTGGCACGCATTGCTGTATGTGAAAATGTACTTTGTGATGAACGAAGGCAGAGGCTTCCCAAACATATCCTGCAACTGAGAGTAAATGCCTCACTGGTACCCGATTTTACAACTGGGTGGACTGGAACAATACCTAATAATTCCACAGGAGTGGATGAGGTTATGAAGACGGGATCTAAGGAAGCACTGTATGAAGTCTGAGCTCAATCAACCTAAAGAAACTGGACCTACCGCACGGACAGTTTTTCTATCTAAAGTAACATTGATCTTGACCTTTGATCTTCGGACCTGAACAGCAATCCCAAGCAAGCACTTTTTGTAAGGAAGCACCATATGAAGATTGAGTTCAATCAACCATAAGGAACTGATTTTATCGCACGGAAACATATTTTCTATTTATAGTAATAGTGACCTTGACCTTTGCCCTTTGGATCTGAAAAGCAATCCCGAGCAAGCACTTCTGGTAAGAAAGCACTGTCTGAAGTCTGAGCTTGATCAACTGCAAGAAACTCAATTTATCGCACAGAAATAGATTTTCTATCTGTAGTAAGGGTGACCTTGACCTTTGGACCTGAAAAGCAATCCCAAGCAAGCACTTTTAGTAAGGATGCACTGTATGAAATTGAAGTTCAATCAACCTTAAGAAACCTAAGTTATTGCAGGGTAACAGATTTTCTATTTAAAGTAACATTGACCTTGACCTTTGATCTTCGGACCTGAACAGCAATCCCAAGCAAGCACTTTTTGTAAGGAAGCACTGTATGAAGATTGAGTTCAATCAACCATAAGGAACTGAAGTTATCGTACGGAAACATATTTTCTATTTATAGTAATAGTGACCTTGACCTTTGCCCTTTGGATCTGAAAAGCAATCCTAAGCAAGCACTTCTGGTAAGAAAGCGCTGTCTGAAGTCTGAGCTTGATCAACTGCAAGAAACTCAATCTATCACACAGAAATAGATTTTCTATCTGTAGTAAGGGTGACCTTGACCTTTGGACCGGGAAAGCAATCCCAAGCAAGCACTTTTTGTAAGGAAGCATCGTATGAAGATTGAGTTCAATCAACCCAAGAAACTGAAGTTATTGCACGGAACATATTTTCTATTTAAAGTAATAGTGACCTTGACCTTTGCCCTTTTGATCTGAAAAGCAATCCCGAGCAAGCACTTCTGGTAAAAAAGCACTGTCTGAAGTCTGAGCTTGATCAACTGCAAGAAACTCAATTTATCGCACAGAAATAGATTTTCTATCAGTAGTAAGGGTGACCTTGACCTTTGGACCTGAAAAGCAATCCCAAGCAAGCACTTTTAGTAGGGAAGCACTGTATGAAATTGAAGTTCAATCAACCTTAAGAAACCTAAGTTATCACAGGGTAACAGATTTTCTATCTAAAGTAACGGTGACCTTGACCTTTGACCTTCCAACCTGAAAAGCAATCCCAATCAAGCACTTTTAGTAAGGAAGCACTGTATGAGTTCAATTGACCTAAGGAAACTTAAGTTATCGCATGGAAACCTTGTTTTGGATGACCTAACCATATGTCGCCTTGTGTTTGAGGCGGCAAAATAATTGGGGTTAAGAAATTGTCTCTGATTCAAAGGATTCACAGTATCGCTTCCAAAGTTGTATTGAGCATATAGTTATTAAAGGGTGTAGAGCCAATCATGCTTCTTAAAATCAGGACAATATTTATTTATTTTTTTAATTTAATGTGTTCAATCTGATCCTCCAAAAGGATTAAATCATACATATTTACATCTGTAATTATTGTGCAAATGTTAAGACACTTACCCATTGCTCTTTTATCTTCCCAGTCGTCCATCAGCTCCGTCACCAGGAACACATAAACTGTGGTCCGGTGGTTCTTTTCTATATTCTAGAAGGACAACAAAACACAAACATTAGTGTACCTAATACATATTGCACATCTGCAAGTCAAACAAGAGCAGTGTGATGAGAGAAGCATTGTACCTGAACATTCCAGTCGTCAAACATAATACATGTATATAGAGTACAAGACACACGTACATTGTATACTAATCAACCACACAAGAACCTGCACTTATATAATAACATTGCACTTGCAATGGTGTGTATGCAGTGCACAGTTGTGTGTGTAATACATTATACCACAGATTTGTAGTTCACTATCCGATACACTGCCAACCCTTTTAAATCATTTGGTACTTGGTACAGTATGTAGTTGGTGAATAGGGTCTGAGGGCAACATATGTTTTCTTAGATGTAAACGTAAATGTTCTAGGCACATGTTTTAAAGCATGAAGATCGGATATGTGGAAGATCAGTAAGGAAAGTAATATAAACTAGAAAACATTTGTAAACCATACATATGCCCCTGCTCGCACTTTAATGGGGATGGAGGAATGAAATTAGCGCAAAGTCTAATTGAGGTCATATTATAAGCTGAAAATATAAGTCACAATGACCTATAAAGATGTACCCATATATGATTTTTGATAACTGCTGGTTTTCTAGTATTAAGAACTAGAACACTGACAGGCCATTTCAGCAAGGCCCCGTTCAGACCCCCCCCCCCCCCCCACAGTGATTTTTTAGTAAGTTACCTTGACCAAAAAAAAAATTGTAATCTCTATTGCACATCTACATATCACAGTCACCATGTCAAATTTCAGAAAGATTAGTCTCTTGGATTAGGAGATAATCTCCAGAAACAGAAGTGCAGTGCGGACGGCAGACAAAAGGACACTATAATTAGTTTAGGACCACCTGCTTCACGGATGTGATGCCCTAGTAATGGAGCTAAATGCAAAGTCTAATCAAAGTCAGTGAAGCAGAACATTTAGGCAACAGTGACCTATTTTTAATACATTGCATGCAGTACGTTCTCCTCCAGATTTATTCGCACATGAATTTTGATGGCTTTTAGTATTGAAGTAACACATGTCAGCTACATATAACTGCAAAGTCTAACTAAGACGTGATACAGATAAATGGAAAAAGCAAAGACTTCAAGACCCATTATATATATATGTTTGAGGAGGGGGGGTTATATATGTTTGGGNACATCATATGTATATAGTTACTTATATTCATGTCACTTTAATGTATTTTTCTTGTGTATACATTATATCTAAAAGATACATGTATGTATACATAATGACGAACATGGTAGAGGTGAGCTACAAAGCTAGCTGGCTGTACATATGGTAATAAAATGGTAATGCAATGAATACACATTATAGCCGACATGACAGAAAGCTTACTGTTATCACCTTACCTTCGGCACCACTTACGATCTTCATCACCATACACTCATACAGCAGTAAAATAGTGGAATATTGTCAAGGAATCACTTATCCCATAAACTGTCAAAGACTGTCACCAGCACTGTTAGTACCATGACAGGTGCATTTGAAACAGGTGTCGCAAGTACTCTGAATGTCACACATACATATATGTGTCTCATGTATCTATGTATAACAGATAGATATATCTTTGTAATGTTAGGTCCTTCTGTTCAAGGGCATCCAAATACAAGAGCTGATCAATTAACAGTTTGGATCCGAGCTCGAGTCGTAAACGTATGGGGCAACTTACTAGGAACCTGGAGATACCTAGCTTGAAATATATATTATATGACAAATTACCGGTAGGTACAAGTAGAACATAGGAGCAAATAGAAATCGGGACCCAAATATACTTATACACAGTCTGCTATATAATACATGTAATTTAATCAGAATAGACCAGTAGCATCTATTGTTAGGACACAGAGATACATAGTCTGCTGTATAATACATGTAATTTAATCAGAATAGGCCAGCAGCATCTATTGTTAGGACCCAGATATACACAGTCTGCTATATGTAGTAATTTAGCATCTATTGTTGGGACCCATAGATACACACTCTGCTATATAATACATGTGATTTAAACAGAATAGACCAGCATCACATATTGTTGAGACCCATAGATACACAGTCTGCTGTATAATACATGTAATTTAATCAGGATAGACCAGTAGCATCTATTGTAGGACACAGAGATACATAGTCTGCCGTATAATACATGTAATTTAATCACAATAGACCAGCAGCATCTATTGTTGGGACCCATAGATACACACTCTGCTATATAATACATGTGATTAAATCAGAATAGACCAGCATCACCTATTTTTGGGACCCAGAGATACATAGTCTTTGTTGGGTCCCAGAGATACATAGTCTGCTATATAATACATGTAATTTAATCAGAAAAGACCAGCAGCACCCATTGTTGAGACCCATAGATACACAGTCTGCTATATAATACATGTGATTAAATCAGAATAGACCAGCATCACCTATTGTTGAGACCCATAGATACACAGTCTGCTATTTAATACATGTGATTTAATCAGAATAGACCAGCAGCACCTGTTGTTGGGACCCAGAGATACATAGTCTGCTATATAATACATGTGATTTAATCAGAAAAGACCAGCAGCACCTATTGTTGGGACCCAGAGATACATAGTCTGCTATATATAATACATGTGATTTAATCAGAATAGACCAGCAGCATCTATTGTTAGGACCCATAGATACACAGTCTGCTATATGATACATGTAATTTAATCAGAATAGACCAGCAGCACCTATTGTTGAGACCCATGGATACACAGTCTGCTATATAATACATGTGATTTAATCAGAAAAGATCAGCAGAATCTATTGTTAGGACCCATAGATACACAGTCTGGTATATAATACATGTAATTTAATCAGAATAGACCAGCATCACCTATTGTTGGGACCCAGAGATACATAGTCTGCTATATAATACATGTGATTTAATCAGAAAAGACCAGCAGCATCTATTGTTAGGACCCATAGATACACAGTCTGCTATATAATACATGTAATTTAATCAGAATAGACCAGCATCACCTATTGTTGAGACCCATAGATACACAGTCTGCTATATAATACATGTGATTTAATCAGAATAGACCAGCAGCACCTATTGTTTGCACCCAGAGATACATAGTCTGCTATATTATACATGTGATTTAATCAGAATAGACCAGCAGCACCTATTGTTGAGACCCATAGATACACAGTCTGCTATATAATACATGTAATTTAATCAGAATAGACCAGTAGCACCTATTGTTGGGACCCAGAGATACATAGTCTGCTATATAATTCATGTAATTTAATCAGAATAGACCAGTAGCACCTATTGTTGGGACCCAGAGATACATAGTCTGCTATATAATACATGCAATTTAATCAGAAAATACCAGCAGCATCTATTGTTAGGACCCAGAGATACATAGTCTGCTATATAATACATGTAATTTAATCAGAATAGACCAGTAGCACCTATTGTTGGGACCCAGAGATACATAGTCTGCTATATAATACTTGCATGATCGTAAGAGGCGACTAAATTTGGGACCTTATCTCTTCTCTCCTTTCTAAATAACTTTCTTCTTCCTAATGTCTCCCTTGACAATGCCTCACTTTTGGCCATTTGTTGAGCGTTCGCCCCTGTGAGGAAGGCTTTGGGTTCTGTCCCCTGGCCGAGACATACCAAAGTCTTTAAAAATGGTAGTTTNGGGTGGGGCGTCCTGCTGGGTGTCTTCGACAGTATGTTTCAGTGAGGTAGCACTTTAAAGTCGGCATCAGTTCCGCGCTATCACAAGGAGACGAACACGAACATATCGCAGCCTCCCAAAATACACACACATACACTACATGCGTGCATCTTGCACACAGGGGAGGCCGTCCTTAAATGACCTGAGCTGTTAATAGGACGTTAAACAAAATCAAACAAACAAAAAAAAAGCTATATAATACATGTGATTTAATCAGAAAAGACCAGCAGCGCCTATTGTTAGGACCCATAGATACATAGTCTGCTATATAATACATGTGATTTAATCAGAATAGACCAGCAGCACCTATTGTTGGGACCCAGATATACAGTCTGATATATAATACATGTGATTTAATCAGAAAAGACCAGCAGCATCTATTGTTAGGACCCAGAGATACATAGTCTGCTATATAATACATGTGATTTAATCAGAATAGACCAGCAGCACCTATTGTTAGGACCCAGATATACATAGTCTGCTATATGTAGTAATTTAATTAAAATAGACCTGAGGCACCCATTGTATGTCACAGGAGAAACTATCACTTGGGACCCAGCTGACATACAAAGTTTGCTATACAGTAACTTTAATAGAAGAAATTAAACCCGCTCCACCCATTGCATGTCATAAGGGGCAACTATTACTTGCAATATGGATCTTCCCTCCATCTTTCTAATATTATATTTTTTTAATGCCAAGGCGACTTCAGTAAATATACCCCATACCTAAGATCAATTGATTGTTCATCAGGAACATTGGTCAGACTGTGAATTTGCACACAGCAATAATCAATCACTCGAAGATAAGATAGTGTTAACTTTTCTAAACTGTTATAAATTATACCAGGCCCTTCTTATTATACCATGACAAATAATAAACAAACGATTAACAATGTCTTAACCTTGAAGCATATCAAACAATGCAGATATATACTTACCTACTGTTAATTTCTCATAATTAGTAATTAGTGCACAGATGTCAGAAGGCATTACATGAAAAATGGATATATGGAGCCTCAAAATACTGCTTGACGGTATCTAGGAGACTTTTAAAAAGAATTCACCTCAAACATGCCGATGTGTCTACCTAAGTTCCCCCTGACCCCCGCCTCCTCCAGAGCTTCACGCTCAGCTGTGTTTCTGGGGTCCTCTAGGGGCTCCACACCTCCTCCAGGGACCACCCACTTCTCTCTGTCCTTACTGCTCGTCACCAGGAGGATCTGACAATCAAATTAGGTACAAATTCATTTCAAACAGTGTCTCACATAATTTCGAGTGAATGTGGTCTCTGATATATAAGCCTTGTTAATTTAGCCACCACTAATCTAGTTGTCCCTTGGACATGTGTACTGTACTACAGTATCATAATTATTCAGTGTATTTGGGGACATTTCTATTTTCCTATCTTGTCTCAGTGTTAAATAATTACATCCAGCCAATTCACTGACACTTACTAGCCTAATTTAACTTTTTTATAAAAGGGTAGCTCAACTGTAATATCTATAGCTATTTCCATTTTATTTTATTTCAAATCAAACACTACCAATATTTTAATGTGATGTACATGCATGCACTGAAAACATAGCTTAATTTTCCAAGTGCACTGTTGTACTGCATGCCCAGTCTGTAGCTTCATGTGTCTGTTAATATTGCTAACCCCATGAAAACATAAGATAATTTTGTGATGAAACAATGCAATTAAAATGTTTTTTACAACCTGGATCTTAAATGGTGACAAAACCATGACATATATAATTCATAATTAACATAAAAGTATGTAATATATATATTTGACCTGACAGCTTTCTTACATGGCACTTAATTAAACCAATTAGACAGAAATATTTGATTTTCTTAACTATGCCATCTAGCTATATATATATATAGGTCATGATCATACTGAAAGAGAAGTTTTGTAGGGCCTAATTTAGGAGAATTTTTTTTTTGTTTATGTCAAATATCTATATTACAGTAGATTTCACTTAATATCACTTCTCATTTGTTAGATGAAAACATGATATTACCGGAACTTGACATCAAGAGAAAATGCATACATCCATATATCTAGTACATGTATGTTACATTTAGTTCCAAAACATATTTACATCAACAAAATATGATTTCATTTAATACACTGTCATGGAGAACTCTGTAAACACAGATTTGTTATTAAAGACGGTGAAATAAAATGACATTAGGAATTGATTTAACAAACAGCTCGTTCAGATTAATTCACTAACCACTCCAGACAGATTACCACTACACAAGCTTAATATAAGCTTTCAATTTAGAGGTATCCACAGCTAGGCACATACCATAGTTGATTTTGGACTAGAAATTACAAAACTTTTGTGAAAAAGTATGCACAAAGTACTTTCTGGTACAATTGATTATCTGCTAGATTTAATACCAACATAAACATGCATATGTAACCCAATAACTTAAGGTAAATATATCCATAGATCTAGACAAAGAACAATATAAACAAAGGGATGTAAATGGGGAGCTTATTAGTGGTTGAAAAGAGAGATAATTTAAGGGCAGAAGATCATTGGTGGGTGAGCCTGATAGGGTGATCATTGGTGGGTGAGTCTTATAAGGATATAATTGGTGGGTGAGCCTGATACGGAGAGCATTGGTGGGTGAATCTGATGGGGTGATCATTGGTGGGTGAGCCTAATGGGAGATCATGGGTGGGTGAGTCTGATGGGGTGATCATTGGTGGGTGAGCCTGATGGAGAGATCATTCGTGACAGAGCGAGTCTGATGGGGTGATCATTGGTGGGCGAGCAAGAATGGGAGATCATTGGTGGGTGAGCCTGATGGGGAGATCATTGGTGGGTGAGCATGAATGGGAGATCATTGGTGGGTGAGCCTGATAGGGAGTTCATTGGTGAGTGAGCCTGATGGAAAAATCATTGGTGTCAGAGCGAGTCTGATGGGGTGATTATCGGTGGGTGAGCATGATGGGGAGATCATTGGTGGGTGAGCATGAATGGGAGATTATTGGTGGGTGAGCCTGATGGGGAGATCATTGGTGGTTGAGCCTGATGGAAAGATCATTGGTGTCAGAGCGAGTCTAATGGGGTGATCATCGGTGGGTGAGCATGAATGGGAGATCATAGGTGGGTAAGCCTGATGGGGAGTTCATTGGTGGGTGAGCATGAATGGGAGATCATTGGTGGGTGAGCCTGATGGGGAGATCATTGGTGGGCGAGTCTGATGGGGAGGCCATTGGTTGGTAAGTCTGATTGGGTGGTTATATTAATGGCGGGTGAGCCTGATGAGAAGACCGTTGGTGAGCGAGTCCGATGGGGGGATCATTGGTGGGTGAGTCTGATGGGGGATCATTGGTGGGGGAGCCTGATGGGGGGATCATTGGTGGGTGAGCCTGATGGGGGGATCATTGGTGGGTGAGCCTGATGGGGGGATCATTGGTGGGTGAGCCTGATGGGGAGATCATTGGGGGGTGAGCATGAATGGGAGATCATTGGTGGGTGAGCCTGATGGGGAGATCATTGGTGGTTGAGCATGAATGGGAGATCATTGGCAGGTGAATCTGATAGGGAGATCATTGGCAGGTGAGTCTGACAGGGATATCATTGGTGGGTGAGCATGAATGGGAGATTATTGGTGGGTGAGCCTGAATGGATGATCATTGGTGGGTGAGCCTGATGGAGAGATCATTGGTGTCAGAGCGAGTCTGATGGGGTGATCATTGGTGGGTGAGCATGAATGGGAGATCATAGGTGGGTGAGCCTGATTGGGAGTTCATTGGTGGGTGAGCATGAATGGGAGATCATTGGAGGGTGAGCATGAATGGGAGATCATTGGTGGGTGAGCCTGATGGGGAGATCATTGGTGGGTGAGCATGAATGGGAGATCATTGGTGGGTGAGCCTGATGGGGAGATCATTGGTGGGTGAGCATGAATGGGAGATCATTGGTGGGTGAGCCTGATGGGGAGATCATTGGTGGGTGAGCATGAATGGGAGATCATTGGTGGGTGAGCCTGATAGGGAGATCATTGGTGAGTGAGCCTGATGGAAAATCATTGGTGTCAGAGCGAGTCTGATGGGGAGATCATTGGTGGGTGAGCATGAATGGGAGATAATTGGTGGGTGAGCATGAATGGGAGATAATTGGTGGGTGAGCCTGATGGGGGGATCATTGGTGGGTGAGCCTGATGGGGAGATCATTGGTGGGTGAACATGAATGGGAGATCATTGGTGGGTGAGCATGAATGGGAGATAATTGGTGGGGGAGCCTGATGGGGGGATCATTGGTGGGTGAGCCTGATGGGGAGATCATTGGTGGGTGAGCCTGATGGGGAGATCATTGGTGGTTGAGCATGAATGGGAGATCATTGGCAGGTGAATCTGATAGGTAGATCATTGGCAGGTGAGTCTGATAGGGATATCATTGGTGGGTGAGCATGAATGGGAGATCATTGGTGGGTGAGGCTGATGGGGAGATCATTGGTGGGTGAACATGAATGGGAGATCATTGGTGGGTGAGCGTGATGGAGAGATCATTGGTGTCAGAGCGAGTCTGATGGGGAGACCATTGGTGGGTGAGCATGATGGGGCGGTCATTTGTGGGTGAGTCTGATGGGGAGATAAGTGGTGGGCAAGTCTGATGGGGAGGCTATTGGTGGGCAAGTCTGATGGGGGGATCATTGGTGGGTGAGTCTGATGAGGAGATCATTGGTGGGTGAGTCTGATGGGGGATCATTGGTGGGTGAGCCTGATGGAAAGATCATTGGTGTCAGAGCGAGTCTGATGGGGTGACCATTGGTGGGTGAGCATGATGGGGAGGTCATTTGTGGGTGAGTCTGATGGGGAGATAATTGGTGGGTGAGCCTGATGGGGAGATTGTTGGTGAGTGAGCCTGATGGGGAGATAATTGGTGGGCAAGTCTGATGGGGAGGCCATTGGTTGGTAAGTCTGATCGGGTGGTTATATTAGTGGCGGATGAGCCTGATGAGAAGACCGTTGGTGAGCGAGTCCGAAGGGGGGATCATTGGTGGGTGAGTCTGATGGGGGATCATTGGTGGGTGAGCCTGTTTGGGGGATCATTGGTGGGCGAGCCTGATGGGGGGATCATTGGTGGGTGAGGCTGATGGGGGGATCATTGGTGGGTGAGCCTGATGGGGAGATCATTGGTGGGGAGTCTGATGGGTGGCAACGATCAATGCGAGTCTGATGGGGATGCCATTGGTGGGCGAGTCTGATGGGGAGATCATTGGTGGGTGAGTCTGATGAGGAGATCATTGGTGGGTGAGTCTGATTGGGAGGCCATTGGTGGGCGAGTCTGATGGGGAGGCCATTGGTGGGTGAGCATGAATGGGAGATCATTGGTGGGTGAGCCTGATGGAGAGATCATTGGTGTCAGAGCGAGTCTGATGGGGTGATCATTGGTGGGTGAGCATGAATGGGAGATCATAGGTGGGTGAGCCTGATGGGGAGTTCATTGGTGGGTGAGCATGAATGGGAGATCATTGGTGGGTGAGCCTGATGGGGAGATCATTGGTGGGTGAGTCTGATGGGTGGCAACGATCAATGGTGAGTGAGCCTGATGGAGAGATCATTGGTGTCAGAGCGAGTCTGATGGGGTGATCATTGGTGGGTGATCATGAATGGGAGATCATAGGTGGGTGAGCCTGATGGGGAGATCAATGGTGAGGGAGCCTGATGGAAAGATCATTGGTGTCAGAGCGAGTCTGATGGGGTGATCATCGGTGGGTGAGCATGATGGGGAGGTCATTGGTGGGTGAGTCTGATGGGGAGATAATTGGTGGGTGAGCCTGATGGGGAGATTGTTGGTGAGTGAGCCTGATGGGGAGATAATTGGTGGGAGAGTCTGATGGAGAGGCCATTGGTTGGTAAGTCTGATTGGGTGGTTATATTAGTGGCGGATGAGCCTGATGAGAAGACCGTTGGTGAGCGAGTCCGACGGGGGGATCATTGGTGGGTGAGTCTGATGGGGGATCATTGGTGGGTGAACCTGTTTGGGGGATCATTGGTGGGTGAGCCTGATAAGGGGATCATTGGTGGGTGAGCCTGATGGGGAGATCATTGGTGGGAGAGTCTGATGGGGGATCATTGGTGGGCGAGTCTGATGGGGAGGCCATTGGTGGGCGAGTCTGATGGGGAGATCATTGGTGGGTGAGTCTGATGAGGAGATCATTGGTGGGCGAGTCTGATTGGGAGGCCATTGGTGGGCGAGTCTGATGGGGAGGCCATTGGTGGGGGAGTCTGATGGGGGGATCATTGGTGGGCGAGTCTGATGGGAGGATCATTGGTGGGTGCGTCTGATGGTGGATCATTGGTGGGCGAGTCTGATTGGGAGATCATTGGTGGGCAAGTCTGATGGGGAGGCCATTGGTGGGCAAGTCTGATGGGGGGATCATTGGTGGGCGAGTCTGATGGGAGGATCATTGGTGGGCAAGTCTGATGGGGAGAACATTGGTAGGTGAGTCTTATGGGGGGATCATTGGTGGGTGCGTCTGATGGGGGGATCATTGGTGGGCGAGTCTGATGGGGAGAACATTGGTAGGCGAGTCTGATGCGGAGAACATTGGTGGGTGAGCATGACAGGGCCTGGGAGAGGTCATTGGTTTGTGAGTATGATAGGGAGATCATTGTGATTATATGTAATTGAAATATTATCAATTGGTGAGTATAATAGGTAAAAATTATTAGGAATATATTCATATTAGAGCAGAAAATTATATATGGTCTGTTCATGCTCAGGGTTCATAATGAAGACAATGCCTATTAGACTATTATCTTTAATTATAGTTCAAAATCTGCCAAGTGATGTTTTATTTGTGTGTGAAATCATGTCTTTTTGACATGTGTTTACTTTTAACCCTCCAAATTTAAATTCTGAAGTCACTTATGCCAAGGGTCAACTGAAAACCCAGCAAGTTTGTTAATTGTCATGATACTACTTTGAAAGTACATGTATATATCAATTTAACAGTACAGTGAACATGTTACTAGACATGACAAGATTTTATTCTATTATTAGACTACTTATATCCAATATGGGCCACAGTATGTTTACACACATAGTAGTATATGCAGTATGTGATGCTAAATTTAGACAAGACCTAACAGTGGAGGCCAGTGATTGGTTGTATATTGGCTGGTTTCTCAGGTTGACCTAGTCTGCAGTAAACACACAATTTGATCATAAGTGAAGCACGTGGAGAAGTTACAGTTACGTTCACAATGCCCTTTATCTAACCAAATTGTAAATTTATATGGACAATAGTCAGTGCCTATGTAAATTGTGGACATGGCAGTGTGCCCATTCCTATCTTGGGTAAACACCTTTTTATATTCAATAAATGTATGAGGTATGTTATGACTGAGTTTTGTTGATATGCATGCCAAACTGATTCATAAACGTTGTCAGATTGTCAAAAAAAAGTAAAATATCCCAATTTAAGCGAAATGGTAAAAATAAATGAGGGGGTGAAAATAACTAAGTATGTGACATATTTATCACAACTGTCAGTGATCAAACATGGGAATTGTGTGTGACTGGGGTTAAGTCTTTATGTCATCAGGGCATCACTAATTCATTAATTGTGAACATTGCAATGTCTTAAAAGTGCTTTCAAATGTTAACCATGCTTCAACATATCAATGTAGCAAAATTGGTCTGGACCATTATTGCTACTGACAGCGGTCTTTGTAAAAATGTGTTATATTCAAAATTGGACACAACCCAAAACCCAAATTTAGATCTAGGTCTAGCTCCTATATTCTTATGATTAAAAATGAATTTCAATATCGATCTCAACTTGTATACTTATATAAATGTCTGAGGGAAATAACAAATATCATATTGTGACAAGCACGAATAAAGAACAGCGATACAAAATAATTAAAACACTGCAGGCTCATTAGCATACCAATGATCACCTGTCATTCAGTTTCATGCTTAATGACGTTATGTTTTGTTTATAATACATTTCACTAAATTAATAGAACAAGTCTAAATACAAATATATGCGATATAACATCAGAACGATAATATAATTACAGTAATCAAAACAAGTAACATCCCTACTGTCAATAACGTCATCTGCCGACAAAAAGACATGACGCAAGATCTAAGGAAGACTCCCAACCACTGAACCATGTTGACAATGTGAACATGACAGCACACTTTGTTATAGTAATATATCAACAAAATGTTTGCAGTAAACATGTCAGTTGTTTGCTTACAAACAGATCGGATTATTTTTAAACATCTTATAAATCAAGTAGCAGCACAATCACCTCTTTTTCGGCATCGTCTTTGAAACACAGACAAGCAGCTCTCCGCCGAAATCCTTCTTTGTCGTAAGTACGTATAGAATTCGGTTTTTCCTTGACCATTTCGTCTTTTTAAATCCCAATTAATTCACATATGAACCAAAAGTAAGAACTATTGGCTTTTGGAGCTCAATAACACGTTAGTTTACGTCCGACAACATAGCCGACTGACTTGTGATTCCCCTGCCGCGATGAATGGGAAAACGTATCCCACAATCCACCATGCTGTCAAGTTACGACGTACGGTAGCTCGTACTGGCCAACGATTGTCGCAAAAATTAAGTAAACTGCGATGCTTTTTGCAAAGTTGAGTTTTTATTAACTGCTGCATTACAATTTTCCTTTATATCTTATTGCGTTTTTATCATCTATGTCAACATATTTCAGCTCGAAACAAGAAAAAAGGAAGGATGCATGTAGTCGACGACGTAAAAGTGAACAGGGTCAGTTGTTACAGTATGCATGGTCAGACTGATAAATAAAAGTAGCTCAAAACTGTAATTTCGTGTATTTCCTAAAGATTGAAATTTAAGAACGTAATGACATATTTAGGGACGTAATTTAATTGTTTGAAGACAAGGAGGATACAAATATTTGTCGAATTTCATTTTTCTATTTTTAAAATTGCATTTTAAAAAATTGCTTTAAGAGTTCACAAGCTAACCAGGCTTTGCACAACCCCTTAAAGTGATAGCTAATCTAATTTCGTGGTTGAACCCGTAATGTTTAACAATTTAAAAGCTTTGTTTTTATCATTTTCAGCATTTTCATCAAACAGAATTCTCTTATAAAATAATCTCTCTGCTGCATTATTTTTCCTCTCCACCGCTTTTTAACTGTGCCTTTAATAAATATATGCTTTGAATGAATATCTCTGGTTTCTATTATTACTTAGTCCTTTCATCAGTATACATAGTGTATTATACTCTTGTAGTGTAAATGCATTTTACTGGAAACCTTGATTATTATCGAAGTAATTTTCATTCCTAGAATTTGTTTTCTAAACATGATATTTCCTGCATGTTTATAGCCATGTGTAAGTATATGTTAGTTTCAGTTTTGATGTGCTTTTGTTTAGGCTTATTGCATGTTTTGTTACATCTCTGTGATATTTTCACTATGTTCTATCGTAAGGATAACTCCTCAGAACTAATGTTTCATGTCATCCTGTATATGACAAACATATGATTTCTTGTATCTTGTTGTAAGGCATTCAAAAACAAAAGATTGCGTATGTAAAGTTAAATTAATAAGTTCCATAGTTAGCCTAGATTTAATCAAAATGTTAAGGCACATTTAATGTATATATATACATGTCTGAAGAATCTCCTTGACGAGATGAAAGTACTAAAGACTCGTTGTTGAGATTTTTTCTTTTTATATTATACATGTGTGTATATATACATGTATATAGTGACGCTGACGGATACTAATTTAAGTTTCTTGTTTTCAGTAATTAGTTTATTGCATGTTAATTCTTGGTGACCGATTATTGATTCATAGGGCTACAGTGATATATCGTATCGTTTCGCGATACTTTCTTGTGTATCGGATTGAATTGTTTTGTTTGTCTGTATCGCAATACACTAACAGTACTTAAATTATCAATCAATTTTTGTCAAACTCTAAAAAAGTGTTCTTATATTTTTGAATCTTTCATTAAACAGTGCAGTCATACCCAAAAGTACTAGAAATTATACAAAAATGTATTTTGATAATATTTACTATTGAATTCTATGACATAACTAGATAAAATCCTGCACTTAATCATTATAAAGTTGACCTTTTAAGCAGATGTTTGTATCGTGATATGTATCGTATCGTAAGCATTGTACCGCGATACGTATCGTATCGTGAAGTAGGCGTATCGTTGCAGCCGTATTGATTCAGCAGCTGATCTAAACTATGTCACGATATGTTTACTCATTGTGTCCCATATGACGGTGTCATCACATAATTATCTGAATCATATGTTTGTTTGCTTTAATGCGATTGATTTTTTTTCAATACCACATACGAGGGTCAACAATTGGTCTTTGAATAACTCACTGCAGGGTTAAATATCGTGACTAAGGTCTATCCATTGTGTCCTTTGGTCAGCTGGGTCAAACGAGCGGACTTAGTCATGTCAACTTACCTGTAGTCGGGGTTACAGACTATACAATGACATTTTGATTTATTTGTATAAATATGGGTGACGTAAACATAATAGTCATTGGAAACCTGGAGCTGTCTCCATGTATTGATTTTGAGCATCACTTTCTATAGTATGAGTGGTACCGTGTCCCGACGATGGATTGCGATAAACGACACTTTACGTACCTAATAGATAAACGATAGATACGTGACATGCGGTATGTACATAAATCGAGTTTTCATCCATAAAATGATTCGAAAAATGTAAATACATGTATTCAATTAATTACAGACGTAACGTCAGATGTTGACGCACATACGAAAAGTCGCGGATTTCGCTACATCAGCGCTATATATAATCTGAATAAGGATCAAATATATATGTTATTATATACCATCTTATTCAGATTTTTTTTTATTTACCTGAATATTTCATTAGAATATATAAAAGTTTCGATTACAACGTTGTTGGAAAACATATCATCCACAATCTGAGTGACCGATGAACTGTATACATTTTCAGGGGATACATGATCACTGCGTAGGGAAGCTCGATGCATTAACGGAAGTTTTGGAGCATGAAACCCCACACCACCCGGACATTGCTGTTCAATACAGATCTTTGGTATTGGGCGCAACAACAGGGAAGTTACAGTACCAATCAAAACTTCTTCCTTCCTGCTGTAAATAAAGCTGTGTTTGATGCAGATAGTAATACATGTAGTAGTTCATTTAGTGGAGCATTATTCTCCCGGCCACACGGAATTTGGAACTTCAAAAATTTCTGTATGTCACTCTTTACATCACAATGTATTGATATTATAACACAGCACAGAATGAGATACGTGAAATCTCTGTGTAGTATAATTCTGCATGTTTATGATAAAGTTATCACCACTGAATGCATTACTCTAAACCGCACATGACATTACGATTTCTTTTAACCGCAAGATATATACATTACAGAAAATTGACACCACATACACAAATTATTAAATAAATTTTTAGCCTATTTACATATTGTTGACAACTACTAGCGTTTAAAAACAAATAACCGAATATTATAATAAGCAGTCATGTCGTGTGACAATTACATCTATGTGGCACTAGACGATCGCAAAGAAACTGACGAAAGAGGACAAAACAGACGAAACTGAACCAAAGTGTTAACACGTGTCTACATTGCAAGTCCTGTATGGCTGGACTTCAGATTATGCACACGTATAGTATAATATTATTATATAATATTCAAGTTTGCAAGAAAGTATCAAAATATGTTAAAAGAAAAAATGATCATGTATCACCTCTAAATCATCCCGCTCGACAACTTTCAGCCGCAAGATAAATTATCATAGCGCCGTAAGTTTATTACTCATATGACCAGCATAATTCATCTGCTTTGAAATCAAAACGATTTTTACTAAGAAATTAATTAGGTACGGTCTAAACTGTTCCGCATTTCAAGGAATTAGCAAATTAGCGACATCTATATATATATATATGTTTTTCTCTGTTGGACGTAAAGAACAGTAAATTGAAAGTTAATGACAAACTCAATGTACGTAACAGGAGTTATGTTATTCTTATTGTATGACACAGGATCAGAGTTATCGACATACTGTATGACATTGGAGTGATCGACATACTGTATGAGATTGGAGTGATCGACATACTTTATGACATTGGAGTGATCGACATTTGACATACTGTATGACATAGGAGATATCGACATACTGTATGGCATTGGAGTTATCGACATACTTTATGACATTGGAGTTATCGACATACTGTATGGCATTGGAGTGATCGACATACTGTATGACATTGGAGGAGTTATCGACATACTTTATGACATTGGAGTGATCGACATACTGTATGGCATTGGCGTGATCGACATACGGTATGACATTGGAGTTATTGACATACTGCATGACATTGGAGTGATCGACATACTGTATGGCATTGGAGTGATCGACATACTGTATGACATTGTGACATTGGAGTTGTCGACATACTGTTTGACATAGGAGTTATCGACATACGGTATGACATTGGAGGGATCGACATACTTTATGACATTGGAGTTATCGACATACTGAATGACATTGGAGTGATCGACATACTGTATGGCATTGGAGTGATCGACATACTGTATGACATTGTGACATTGGAGTTGTCGACATACTGTTTGACATAGGAGGTATCGACATACGGTATGTGATTGGAGTGATCGACATACGGTATGACATTGGTGTGATCGACATACTTTATGACATTGGAGTTATCGACATACTTTATGACATTCGAGTTATCGACATACTGTATGACATTGGAGTTATCGACATACGGTAGGACATTGGAGTGATCGACATACTTTATGACATAGGAGTTATCGACATGCTGTATGACATTGGAGCGATCGACATACTGTATGGCATTGGAGTTATTGACACACTGTATGACATTGGAGTGATCGACATACGGTATCAAATTGGAGTGATCGACATACTTTATGACATTGGAGGTATCGACATACTGTATGACATTGAGCGATTGACATTCTGTATGACATTGGAGTTATTGACATACGGTATGACATTGGAGTGATCGACATACGGTACGACATTGGAGTGATCGACATACTTTATGACATAGGAGTTATCGACATGCTGTATGACATTGGAGTTATCGACATACTGTATGACACAGGAGTTATCGACATACGGTATGACACAGGAGTTATCGACATACTTTATGACACAGGAGTTATCGACATGCTGTATGACATTGGAGTTGTCGACATACTGTTTGACATAGGAGTTATCGACATACGGTATGACATTGGAGTGATCGACATACGGTATGACATTGGAGTGATCGACATACTTTATGACATTGGAGTTATCGACATACTGTATGACACAGGAGTTATCGACATACTGTATGACATTGGAGTTATCGACATACGGTATGACATTGGAGTGATCGACATACTTTATGACATTGGAGTGATCGACATACTGTTTGACATAGGAGTGATCGACATACTGTATGACATTGGAGTGATCGACATACTGTAT